GCGGGTGTGTTTATTAGAGCAACCGGAACCAAATCAACAATTTTTAGAGTTTTTGTCTGTCTGTCTGTATGCTTGTACGCTCATCACTCGAAAACTAATGCGTGCAATCGAAACCAGTTTCCACCGGTGCATTTCTAAAGGTCTAACTTAAAATAATGGAAAAATATTTGTGGAGAATTAAGGATAATTAAGGAGTTGCCACCTGTTTAAAACTTGCAGTTGAAGTTGAATTTGATAAGATGAAGAAAATATTGCGATGTAGCTGTCAAAATAAGGAGGGTTAAGAAGGCTTACAGTCGTGAAAATTTTTCGTGGAAGGTTTCCACCTATTTTAGAATTTCATCAAGAATTAATTGGTAAGATGAATTAAATATTGCAATATGGTAACAAACTCAAGAGGTTTAGGAAAGTTACCGCCGGTTCGAAAAAAAAAAATTCAATTTCACTGGTTTACAGCAAAAGTGTTCTATGGATACCACTATCCAATTCCCATGTAGAATTCATCGATGACTCCGAAAATCGAGATCATTTTTTTTTTCTATGGATAACTTTTCGAGATATTTGCAATTTACCGTTACTCAGCTTTAAAAAATAGTGGTCTCACTTAATCACGTATATCTTAGGAACCAATTGAATAATGGAAATACGAGATTTGGGAAGTGAAAGCAAATGAAGTTCGCCATAAAATGTAAATATATCACTTTTCGATAGCCCTAATAGTTTCTGAGAAATTAATTAATCATTTCTGACACCTCTAGTTTTCGATGCAAACACTTTATCTACTCAGGTGTGCGTGGCGTATGAGTAACACACTTTTCTGCTGATATTTCATCCAAAAAATTCTTGCGCATTTTCATTTGACCAATCATTATTTTGTTATTTATATATCGATTTTATTCATTGGTAGCTTAGTTTTTTTCTAAATGAACAGGCTTTAATACGAGTGCAAACTATTTACACAGAAACTGTTATTTTTTCATTTTTTTCTCTGTTAAAGTTTGATTTTTTTTGCATTTTTCCATCAAAAAAAAAAAAACGAAAAATCTGGAATGATTATTAATTTCCCAGAAACTATTAAGGCTATCGAAAAGTAATCGGTTTATGGAGAACTTTATTTTCTATCATTTGCCGTACCTCGTATTACGATTTTTTAATTGGTTCGTAAGATTTACCTGATTAATTGGAACCACTCTTTTTTTAAGCTGAATAACGGTAAATTGCAAATACCTCGAAAACGTATCCATACAAAAAAAAATTAACCCGATTTTCGGGGTCAGCGAGCGATTTTACATACAAAATGGAAAGTGGCGTCTGGAGAACAAACTCAAATTTACAGTTTTTGATCCAGTGTTATTAAATTGATTAAATATTACAGAACGAATTTCAAACAGTTAAAGTTTTGTAGCGGGTTGCCACCTATTTGAAAAACGTTAGTCAGTTAAAGTGATAAGATAAGGTAGAAAGTGCACGATATAGAATCTATTTTTAAGAGTATAAATTCATTTAACAAATTATATAAAAATAAAGTAGGTATGTTTCATAAATCGAAAATATGTTTGAAAATCTCACTTAATAAAGTGTAGTGAGCACGCCGATAATTTGTTGGAATACTTAATAATAAAACCACGCATATTTCAACAGAAGGCAGTTAAATAATTTTGGTTACGTGAAGACCGCTGTTTCTCATAAATAAATGTATACTTATTTAATATACACATTTTCATTTGTTTAAATATACATGCATTTTAAATTGTACGTACATCCATTTGAAAGTATGATAAACTGCTTAAATTCTATTGCCATTTTTCCATTCCCTTTTTTGCTGTATATCTACTCTTATGAAATATTTCAATACACTACATCTTTCCCCAGCTATCATAACTGAAATCAATAAATCAAAGTGAATGTGGGCGGAAATGTGATATACATACATATACAGCTCGTGCCATTGGCGTTTAAGCAAAAACTTTATGTTGCAACATTTCACAAACAATAAGTGCATAAATTGCTCAAGAATAGCATGAAGCAGCGTAAAATAAAGAATTGTGCTAAGAATCGTTGTAGTAAACTTAGAAATAAAGTTAAGCTGCAAAAGTTTCAAATGCTTTATTTTTAAATTCTCGTTTTATTACATAGTATCTCTTGCCTGCAAGACAAATGTTTGCTTATTTAAAGTATCATCATGTTCTTCAAACGCACATAAAAATGAACGAAGAAAGGCACATAAAACTAGTATTATTGCATATTTGCGCGCTCTCACATTCACATATAGAGAAGAAGTGCATATAAGTTATTGCAATCAGCATTATTGCAACAATTCATGTGGAAATAAATTTCATAAACTTTGCTTCGCAGATGCCTAAATGGATACTAATGTTAAGGGGGTTTTCCGCATTTTTGTTGGAGAATACTTAAAATTTTTTTAAGATACTTATATTCAATATCATTTTTTCTTCTAATTACCGATTAATTGTTATGTTAATGAATAGCATCTTCATCATTAGCACGACATTAGATAGCTGCTCTTCCCATCTATCATCCTTAAATTAATTTAAGTTTAATACTAGTTTTATTTGTTTCAAGTTTTGCTAAGCACTTTAATGAAATTCTGCATATGATTTAAAAAGAGGTTTCTTAGCTGGGGTATTTTTTCCAAAATTCCCGCTGAACCTACTCCTACAGTCACCACTGCGTATGAGTGACAATTTTTTGCGTAGAAATCTGTTTTATTCATATGTATGTACATTGGACCGCGTCAAAAAAATAAAAAATCCTGCAATACGATCGGAATAAGACTGAAATTTTAGCATTCGCTATAGTAATGATCCTCCATGAATCTCCCCTAGTTAGCTCCGAAATCGCTATCACTTCTACCATTTTTTCAAATTATTGTTGCTTTTCCACAATAAATTTTCATATAAAAAAACGGCCTCGAGCTCAATATAAATTGTTGAATATAATTGTTATAAGCCCAAAAAAATAATAAAAATAAATAACTTAAGGACGAGCACACCTAAAAGTTAAACATTCTAATAATAGAAATATTAACAAAAACCAACAAAACCAACAACCACATGATCAAGTGAATTGCAGCGGAATAGCTGCGCTTGATTGTGTTGGCATAACAAAAATGAAAATAGTGGAAAAAAGGAAACGATAATTAACAAGACAAACTTAGCACAGTGCGTAGGCAACTGGCTGAGTCAGTGGTGATCGTCGGTTCGAATCCTACTGAAAGAAGTCTGATGAGGAAATGTGGTGATTTCCGAAATAGCTATCACTTCTACCATTTTTCAAATTATTGTTGCTTTTCCACAATAAATTTTCATATAAAAAACGGCCTCGGGATCAATATAAATTGTTGAATATAATTGTTATAAGGCCAAAAAAATAACATTTATTTTTTATAAAAATATGGTTTATTCTTCAAAAAATACCAAATAAATCAAAGTTTCAAGCTTTGTGTGTTATTGAAAAAAATTAACAAACTTTTGTAAAAGTTTCGAGCTTTTTAATTAGATTTTTGAGAAAGATTTTGAGAATTCAGCTTTACAGCTCACTCAATTTTATTACAACCAAGTAAAAGCTTCAAGTAGCTGTGACCTACAGTTAATTTTTAACCATTTTTTACAGTGTCAGTCATTTTCTTACATACGAAGTCTGTCCGATGATTTGTTTTTATATAAAGAAAATGAGCAACACCTTCAGAAAAACTAGTTGCCAAAAATCACGCGTAAGCCCCCGCAGCTTTAAGTTTGTACTAAAATAAAATTGGCTACAAAACTGCATTCTCAAAATATTTCTAGAAAATTTAATTAAAGAGATCGACATTAATTTTTCCGATCCCCAGTCTTTACGCATTCAGATTGCTGTTCCTAAAGCTGCATTTCACCTACCAATAATTTCGAGAGAGGGATCTGTACCATAAATAAATGCGAAATTAGATAGGAGTAGTTGTAATACAATGGAGAAAAAATCTTTAAAAAAACGTATCTTGGCATTTTAATTTAAGGAGTGAAAAAGATTTTAAATGCATATCCTAATAAAGCCTGTGAAACCCTTTAAAGAAAACGAAAAAATTTCACCTAGGTGAAACCTGTACCTATTTTTAACCACTTTTCTAGATGAAAACGCGGCATATCCGTTTGTTTTCAACTCTCTTTGGTCGGTCAGTTTTATATCGCGCTGAAAATTTTGGTAAATTACAATCATTTTTCTTCATGCCATAAATCTCGTGGGCCAAAACGTCCAGAGTGACAAACAAATAATTTAAATAACCAAAAGCCATAACCCGCGCAGACTAAAAATTGCGGTGTCACACAATGGTTTCATGGTTGCTAAAGCATGACAACTCGTTAGCCAAGTGAGCCGCAGAGAAAAGATAAATACGGAAAAATAAGTGCATATACTATAATACTTATGTATGTAAATTCTGTGGATATACGAGCGCATACTTAGCACATTAGAGAGATCAAGACATAAAAAAATGTTAATGCAGAAAACTTTGTGGAAAGGCGCGTAACAAAACATGAAGTACAGGATTGCTTGCCATAGAAAAAATAACAAGAAAGCAAGCGGACAGGCTAACACAAATTTACTTCTGTACGACGAAAGACACTTTACTCTCGGCGGTTTCGTTGCGAGCTAAAAATTCTAAAAACTCTTAAGCGTTTAACGACAGACAATTCTGCAAACTTGTATGTGTGTCTTCATCAGTATATATGTACATATCAGTTCGTTCATAAAATCGACTAAATGTGTAATTTAATCTCGGCGCTGTGTATCAGATTTCATTGCCGCCATTATTTTCAGTGTAAAATAAATATTTTATTTTCTCAATCTCTACACATCACTTTTTATGCCACTTGGCTTTGTGCTATAAAATTTAAATGCATAATTTTTAAGCTCATATATTTATCGTATTTAACCACTCTCTTCTCTGCATTTCTTTTCCACATTTGCACTCGCACACACACACGCACGCGCGCGCATAAATAAAGATCTAAGTGGCTTCATTAAATTGCTCGAACATCCGAAATATACAACTGTGGTGAAAACCTTAAATGCCGGGATTAATTTTGCTGTTGAAGAAAGGTCGTCGAGTGTGAAAACAGCATCAGTCAATGGAGCACCAGCAGCAAAAGCAAAGCAGCAAAGTCAACGTCAATCACAGCAACAATTTGTACCAGCAACACAGATTAATAATGCAACAGCGGCTTTAACGGAGACTGCTGGCAAAATGAAAAAGTCATCAACGTCAAGTAATGCGCCACTTGTCGCCTACTGTCACTTGGCTGAACAGCTGTCACGAGACTTTAATAAAACCGTACTCGTTTGGCCGTGTCCCCGCATGAAGGTGAGTAAAATGGGGTCATTATTATAGTGTGTCTATGTATGTGTGCATATTTGTGACTTTGCGTGGTTGTGTATGTGCAGCATTGCTGTGAATTATAACTGAACGGGTCATTAGTAATTTATGTTGTTAGTATTTTTTTTTTGTTGCTTTATTCAACACAAGCTGTTCGTAAGCGAGGTAAACTATAAAAATAGTAAATAATTAAATTTTCACATCCCAGAAGCGTCAACAGCATTATAAGTGTGGTTCAGGCATACACACATACATATTAAACGTAGCAATAAAACATTTATTTAAAATTTTCTTCTGGTAAATTGCGAACTCTAGCCTCAGATCAAAAATAGCCTGAAACCTCGTTTGGTATCACAGAGCTGGAAGAGGTCCTTTACGGTTCTGACGGAGCTGATGGTGTTAATTTAACGTCATTTTACATAGACGTATAAGTTCCACGGGGAAATCAATGTAAGACGTGACATATCGCACATTTAATAATATATAGAGCAGTTGTCGACATACTTACACAATCAAACGATTCAATAAGTGAGATTGTGTGCGTTAAAAGCACAGCTCAGCTGCCGCTCTTCATTTACATATGTACATGTGAAGCACACATGCCTACAAACAATACCTGCTTAAGTAAAATTTTTAAATATTTAAAAATAAGTAAATACATCTTACATCAATGTATGGTGAAAATAAAATTTCGTTTGTTCTTAATTTAAATGGAAATTTAGGTAATTATAATAATGTAATAAATAGCCGCGGCGCTATTGCTTGAAGAGGAAGGCAACTCGTCCCAAAATGCTGAGGTGAAATTTAAAAGGCGGAGATGAGTCAAGAATTTTTCATCTTTAAAGTGCTAAAGCCTTATGCTAATAATTGGTTATAACTTTGATTTTCAAAAATGACTTTTCACTTAATAAGAACGCTTTCTTAGATATTTTATGTCTTAGATATTTTTGTCTCTTCAAGTGGCCTTATGCGCTGCAAACGACAATTACCCGCGCCGGTGCTCATCATTTCGTTTTTGTTGGCTGATAGCTTGCGTTTAATACAGCACTTCCAGTGAATCCACACCTGTACAAAGCCGTTCAATATATTTTACAAATCCTACCTATTTTTACTAATATCTTACCTTTATTTTGATAAGAGACCCAATGCATTTAGTGTAGTTGCAACCCTCTTCCAAAACCTAGGAAAATGTAAACGACTGGATCTCGAAAGACGGCAAAATACATTTCTAGCTGAAAAGTTCAACGTCTAGTTATATTTAGGAGCAGTCGATGCTCGAACCACATTGTAGGAAAATCCTAATCCTAACAGCAGACTTAATTTTAAGGCATACAGTATGAGTTTGTACGTTGTGTTTCTAGATCAGTTCATTCTCCAAAGATATTTTAATTTTTATAACAAAAAGGGTTCTCCAGGGGGAAAAAATTATAAAATGACAGAGTTTTGTAAATTTTTACTATAAATTAATTACTAAATATTATATTATTATTGTCTGCACTTTAATAATAATTTACAATTTAATTCATGTCCGAGTTTCAATCTCTTTTCCATGTCTTATACGAGCAACCTTTTCAAAGCTAGCCACAAATTGTACTTGAAAATCACGTGCACTACGTACTCGTACTTGTTCATGAACTTGTTAGTGTTTATGCTTGCCTTTACGCATACTTGCATACATACATATGTACATACATATGTGTTTGTTTATTCTTCAAATAGTTACGTCTGTATTTGTGTAAGTTGGTTAGCTGCACTTGCTGAGTTATTAGTATGACTCGAGTGCCACTACGTAAGCATACTTGCAGTCAAAGTGAGTGGGTGAGTAGCGAATGCAAAAACTAAGTTAAACAAATAAGTTTCATTTTTGGAGGCCATGGTTACAGTGAACGAAATTTTTCGCCAGTCGTGAGCTAGCTGGTAATTTAAGCAAACTTAATGAAAATCTTAAAATTTTATAATTTGGAAGACGGAATTTTGCAAAAAATTACCAAAGCCTACTAAATAATATTATAAATGTGAAAGTTTGTATCTCTGGATGTTTGGTGGCTTCATCAGCTATAACAAAATGCACACAGAAATAAAAAATAACATTTTTAAATTACTTTTTCATATTTGTATAAAAACGTGGAGTGAAACCCGCGGGTATAAGCTAGTATGGCGACCAAAATGATTAAAATATATTAGACTCACTTAAAACTTTACAGTCGGTGGTGACTTAAAGTCGCTGATTACGAATCTGATATCAGATTTTAAAAATTCAAAACGGCGGATTCATATCTGTGGACTTTTGACAAAACAACTTCACTCGAGTGAGGTCATTTTCTCTTTAAAGCTGTAATTCAATTATATATAATGATATTTTTATGTTTAGACTTTAATAGGAGCAGTTCAAGATGCTATCTTAATGAAATTTAAAAAAAAAAATGTCAGATTTTTAAATGCAAGTTCCTTATAAATTATTCTAAACTCCAACCTACAGAAAGCACAGAGGTTTGTTTGTTAAACACAGTCCACAGATATTGGATCTGCCATTTATTACAGAAAGGTTAAAACCGAACGTACGCACGATCCAATTTTTTTGGCAACTGGCGGTGACGTTTAGGCAATGGACGTTATGTACTTTCACTTTAACTCAGACGAGATAAGAATGTTACTCATACGCCATGTACGTACGTTCGATTTTTAACTATTCCGCCTGGATGCGCCATTTTGAATTTTTAAAATGTGATTTCAGAATCGTAATCAGCGACCTTAAGAAATTTTATTATAATAAAAAATCAAAGATTGCTACCATATATACTAGTTGTAAAAATCTCCATAAATTTATTATTTTTAAATTCTTTAACTTACTAATTTTTATAAATAAAGTATTATTTTGAATGTGAATTTTTCAAAAATTATAAATCGGTACCATTTTTTAAACTTATGAAATATATACACCTACTTTTTATTGTTGATTTTTAAAATAATAATCGAATTTTAATTTTTGAACTTATTTTAAGAATTTGAAAAACCCCGCATTTCTTTTGGTATAGAACACATTTTGGCAAAAATTCCTTCACAGCAACTTGACATCAAATTTGCAATATCAAATTTATAGCTAAATACTAGCAGCAGTAAAAAATAAAGATTCCCACCTTAAGCGTCTACTGAGTAATGTACCCACTGGGTAAAATAATTTTATTATTTCGATTTGTCTACACTCAAAATGTTACACTTAATTCACCTGCATATGAGTACCACTGCAAATGTATACATTTTACATACATACATATATGCATATACATGAGTGTGCTAGCATACGTGTGTCCACACATGTGTTCACATTTATATTTCTGCATTCATACACAGCGTGCAGAAACGTGCAACAAAAGACATAACGAATTCTCGGCGCGCCACAGAAAAGTACTCAAATGACGAGTAATACATTTCTCTGTGCTTAAGCTGTAGTGCATAGCTATGCATTTGGTCCAAAAATAAATAAAAATAAAAATAAAAATAATAATGCGCGCTACAGTCGGCACTTTTGACAGACTTGTAGCTGTAATTAGTGGATATTATTTACTGGATATTTCCTAAACAAAAGGTTCTCTAGTGCCGTTTACAACATCTCTCCAAACAGAAGCTTAATAAAAATACTCACTAGCCGGCTTTTTAAACCAAATTAAATGATATCCAATTTCCACTTGTTTGCAAATTCATCAAATTGCGGCTTCTTTAGCGCTTATTTAAGGTATGCAAAATTTTAATGTATACTCAATAGCTTTATGTAAACTACCTACAAATACTTACTTAAATTTCAAAAACTTGAAAACATTCAATTAAAACGTAGCGGGCAGCATAACCGCCTAAAATCGCATTTAGAGCGCAGTGCAAACCATCGCGTGGATTTATTTTTGCGTAGTTGCATTCATTGCATATAAGTAGGTTTACGAGCACCCACAAATGTGTTTGCCTACATCTTCATACGCACGTACGTACATATGTATACATATATGTACATACACTGTATGCATTTTGTCGCCTCAAGTACACAGTTTCCTGAAACAAATGAGAGCTCATTTCTGTTCTTGATTGTGCTTGTTTGCTTTAGTGCGGGTTTTAGTGTTGCCAAAGATGGGCTTTTCCTACCAAAACTGGTAGGTTTTTTTCCATTTGGTAGGTTGGTAGGCTTGATTGGATTTTGGTAGGTAGGGCAATAATAGTTATTTGCGAAAAATATAAAATATGTATCTCAAAACATTCTAGCAACCTTGTTTACACGAATATTTCACTGTTGGAGTCCACCCTTATTCACCTGACAGGGACTTCATTGTAAGACTTGAGGAATAACCTATTGGTCTTTCAATATGGCAGTAAGACCCGTTGTCACATATGCGGCACTGGCCTGGTGACCAAAAGCTACGCAAGTAAAGGCGGGTTCCACCTTTAAAAAGCTGCAACGACGGCCCGCGTGGCCATTAAAGGAGCTATGAGCACCTGTCCAACGGATGCCATTGGTGTAATTACAGGCATATGTCCTTTATCTTTTCTGTTTGGAGCACCCTATGACTAGCCATGAATATGATCAGCAAGAAAATTTGGGATCTTCGGGGTTATTTGGAGTTTTTAAAGCCATTCCTGGATAATCTCTAGTTATACTTCTAAATTTGTCCATGGCAACACTGGCGGGTTCATACGATGTATGTATGTATATGAGGACAAAATTCGTAGTAAATTGAATTCACAATTCACCCTTCCTAATGTGACCCTGCATTTGCAAACAGGCCCATTCAGTGCGCTCAGACTCAACTCTGTTACATATGTATATTTACATACATATATGCTCATAAAATAACTTTGTTAAGTTTAGTACATATTTCTATATGTATGCGAATATATGTACATATGTATGTAGTATGTTTATTGCTCTCCTTGCTTTCATATTTTACCTGAATCCTCATTTTACTCATTGTATTCTACTTTGCACTTAGTTGCTTATTTACCGTTGGAGCGATTGCTGGCACCAGACATATGTGAATATTATATCTTTTGAATTTATTTTACTTATAAATTTGAATTTGCTTATTTCAAGGTACATATTTCTTTGCGAATATTGTGCTTATTTAATTAATAGATATTAAATTCTATGGAAAACAGTAAATTTTTATCGACTTCATTTATGTTGATTGAGGAAGGTGAAAATGTGAGTAGAGTTATTTAATTAAATATTAGCTTTGGATGAAATATATTTTTGTGTAGATTATAACTTACAAGTACTACATGGCGTATGAGGATCGGAAAGCGATGGGAGTGAGCCATGATTTCGTAAAATTTTGCTTTATGTAAATGTAAAAGTTAATTGTTATTGATAATTATTTTTTTTTTATTTAAGGCACTAAATGATCATAAAATTTACTTGGGCGATTTTCTCGGATGCTTTTCATTTTCCGCAGGCACATAAAGGTTTCTCTCGGAGAGATACACAAATGGGCGCTTTATTTTGGTTGGAAACTGAAGTTTATATTTAATTTCAAGAAATAAATCTCCCTCACT